GTGCGGCTCCAGCGCGCATGTACATGGTCAGCCGCGCTGTCACCAGTTTAGGGTTTAAGGTTTAGGGTTTAGGGTTTAGGGCCCTTTCTAGAATTGAAAATCAGGACCCTACACCCTGAATCCCCAAACAGAAGCTGCGAAGACTTGACCCATTCTCAATGCTAACCTTTTGGCAACTGATAAGCCCTGAACCTCAACTCCGATAAGCACTGAACTATCAACCCTACCTGTAATCCCAATGAACTACAGAGTTATGCATCATATGTGGTAATAGGTCCTTACTACTAAGCTGTAGCCCTGGTCCCAAAATCCTATATGATAACATTTCTGTTTCTGGTGAGTTTCGCCGACGTCCCCTTGCATTTCATTCTCCATTCTTCGTACCCTAAACACTCTATACCCCTTTTGTTCCCTATATAAAGGCCGCTCAACTCTAATCCCCAAACCCTAGACCCTCAAACCTAGTCCTTAAACCCTAGACCCTAATCCCTAAACCCTGAGTACCCCGTTGCTGGTAGCCTCAAGGTCAACCCTAATCGCCCTAAGTTCGAGTCCTCAGCATCTGCACTTTCCTCACCAGCCTCAGCAGCGTTTAGGGTTTCAGGCTTAGGGTTCAGGAAGATCAAAAAATCTGCAACCCTCTTTGAGGTCTTGTGGGAACTTTAGAGTGTTGGTTCTTCGTAGAGAGTAAGGCAATCTATTACATAGGGATTGCCAAGGGATGTCCCTCATTGCCTGCTGAGAACCAGTAAGCAAGGAGGGACCGGGCCTGGCTTATGCGGGGTAATATTCGGCTTACCTGACTATAAATAAAGGAGTATTTATAAGGACTACATAAGGGTTAGGGTAATGGGATTAGGAGTTTTTTCACGAGGTCCCTCCTGATAGGAGCCTTGGGGGGCGAACGGGATCGAGACTCGCGTAAGGGAGGCAAAGAGGGTAGCTTCTAATGCACTCAAATGAGGCCACGTATGAGGCAACCTCGGGCACAAATACTATAGTGTGTAGGAATGGTAATGTCAAAACGGGTCTGGGTTGTCCGCAGGCACTCCAGCTGGTGCAAACCAAGCGTCCTTCAGGCCTTTGTCCAGGCAAAACGCAGCCTCCTGCCGTCGAGAGATGGCCGTGCGAGATATGTGCACAGTCACGCTTACCAAGCAACACCTTATGGCTGCAAATCTGCAAGCCCACCCTTGACAAGCAACGCGTGTGGCAATGCCAACTGACCTTTGGCAGTACCATGCTCTGCGCAGACCCTGCTTGCAACATCCAACCGAAGGGAAGCAACGAAGGCTGGACTTCTCAGCCAACGCGTTACCTATGGATTTCCTCCGAACTCTTCGCAGAACCTAGAGCTAATGGCGATATCGTCTTGGCAAACAGCTCTGCAGTTGTATATAACCCCAAGATAATCCCTATAGAGTCTCCAGATAACCGCTATACTATCCAAAGATGATCTTTATAGCTTATAATTAGACAAATCCCCTTAATGCACTATGACGCAGCCATCTGCTCTGAAAACTCTCGGGCACGTCTTTTAATCCACAGCCACGCAGTGCTCAACCAGACACGTTCTTGACTGTGCCCTATCTCATATACCACCCCTGCAACCCCGACGCATAATTAGTTCCATGAGAATGTAGATCATCCCCTGATTGTCAGAGACCACATTCACAAGCGGCTCTGAACCCCCCTGAAGAATACACCCTAAACCCTAAACACTGAACAAGTGCTTCATCTTGTTCCAGAAGTGTTTGGATGTGCTAAAGCCAATGCGAGGAAAGTTCGGGCAAGGGCCGTAGCACCCCCTAGGGATCCCAGTCACCGCGGCTTAGGGTTCGGGGTTTATAGGGTTTAGGGGTTTCTGGGCTATGTAACTATAAGGTATATAGAACCCAGAACCCATTTGTTAGGTAACTGGAGCCCTAGGGACTGACAGACGTGGGTAGTTCCCAAAACCGCTCTTAGTCCTCCCGACAATTCTGTAATCGTTGTTATCAGGACTACCAGAAAGGGACGCCAATTCCTGACTAAACCCTAAACCCTAAACCGTCTATGCCGTAAAAGCCCCTAAAATCCCTTGAGACTCGAGCCGATCTCTTGGAACCCATGAGTTGGGGTACTGCCCCCACCCTGTAACAGTCTACATTAGCCGTCATCTTGAGGGCTACATATATATATATATGTATGTATGTACACATATATATATATACATATATATATATATACATATATATATACATATATATATATTGATGATATTACCCGACGGTTACAGAGTGGGGGCAGTACTCAACCCATGAGCAACTGTTCTCGCCGGCTCCTCATCGTTGTCGGTGGCTCGCTTGTCCTTGTGAGACTCGATGCTCTGTTCCCAAAGGGTCCATGTGGATTACGGGACGACCTACATAAATAGAATGGTGAATGGGGTCTAGGGTTCGGGGCTTAAGCTGCAGTGTTGAGTATAGGGACGCCTCTTTGCTGCATTATATAGAGATCATGTAGGAATACATATGAACACATGTATACATATGTACGCAAGGTTTTATAGATTGTAGCGCCTACATCATTTGAATGGTGCAGAATCAACTGGAAGAGACAATCGTCAATGAAACGGTGCATTCTAGGATAGTGATGCTTGGGCGTGTTTGCTGAGAAAAGGGCTTTGGGGATTATGTAGATATAAGCCTGTAGTCACGCATGCAGAGATTACTGCGGGATAGCATTACTTACTCTTCAGGCCTCTACTGCGTTGACCTCTGGAAGTCTTGGTGGCTGAGCCAGGGAAGATGATATTCTTCCTGGACGGCTACAGCATCTGAGAACACGATCTTACTACACATGCGGGACTAGCTCAGGATCCCTGATTAAAGCACTACTCCTGTACCGACATAGTATGTGCTTGGGCCCCAGGCATCCCGCAACACGAGCTACATAGGAATGTGAACCCTTAGGGGTTGACGGATTTCAGGGGCAAACCCTCAACCCTAAACACCAAAACCTGGACCGTGAGGAATGGGGCCTCAGCAGAGCAGGCCCCGGTGGAGAGATAGCAATTGTCTAGTTACCTTAACTTTGGTTCGCCAGGAATGAAGAAATGGAAAAGAAAATGGAAAGTACTAAAATGCATTATATTGGGACTACAGTACTATAAGGATCCATTCCTTCATTCCTAGCTAACCAAAGGTATGTACGGCAGCTCTCAAGAAGATATGCTGGCTTCCTGAATTTCTTGCATTATAGAGGCCAGCCCTGTTCTAGGAAATGCCCTTTCGAGTCATCCCTGGCCGAAAAAACAAACATACCCCAAGCTCGCCCAGGCAATATTGCAGCACGGTGCGCGCAGTTGTTCAAACCCCGGGCACCATGCACAGACTTTGGGGCCCAAGGTAGGTATCATTTGTATACTTGGATCCCCAGAAGCACAATGGCTCTTCATGTCCGGCTTGGGCATGGCTACCATTCCATGAGGAAACCCTAAATCCCTGAACCCATAAACCCTAAATCCCTAAAGCCCTAAAGCCCTAAACCCTCCATGAGCCCTACTTTGAAAAAGTCCAGGGCTGCACAGCCAGTCAGCATGGATATGATCTTCAGGTCCCTTTGCCCATTGAAGCCCTAAGGGTCCAAGGACCCAAATGATAGGGTCCCTTTAAAGGGGGATATATAGGGGCTATATAAGAGACCAAGGACCCAAATAGTAGGGCTTTAGGGCCCAAATACTAGAATATTCATGGTATTTGGGCCCTAGAACCCTATTGTTTGGGTCCTTGGACCCTTAGGGTAGGATTATATAGGGGTTTTCGGGATAGGAGCCCATGCAAGCAACGGAGAATCATATAGAAACTATGAACAATGAGATGGGAATTGGTAATGATATTGGGGTTCTATTGTACAACGATCCCTGGACATGTCTCCCTTCGCATAAAGTAGGCTGTAGCCACAGTCTCTGAATCAGCGCATAGTCTGCAAACTTCTGAATGCCCTCCCCCAACCTAACTGGGGGCCTTACATGTAGCTCCCGTTAGAGGCAAAAATGCTGCTTCGACGGAGAACAGCTTGATTCTGCCCAAGCAGCGGCTATGAGCTCCTCCGCACCGTTGTTTGCAATTTGCGCCATGTCTGCAGAAGATCAGAAGGCGAAGATAGGACCGTAAAGGTCTGCGGCGAAGCAGCAAGAAGGTATCGTTATGTATGAGTGTATGGGGTATAAGGGGGTTTAAAAGGGTGTATTAGGGTTTCCAGTGAGCATGCTTGGACTAGTACTGCGACCCGGACCTGTCACCTGATGCACAGAAGGGAGGGCATGTTGGCAGTCCTTCTGTGATGAAAGCAAGCAAGTTCTCCGATAAGTCCAAGCTAGTGCTAGTCCAGTATAGTGATGATCTCGGAAACGCGAGGTATTCCGTATAAAGCTCGAAGGTCTCGAATTCTGCATCATGCCCCGCGCGCCCAAAAGTCAACCTCACAAACAAACGCGATCCTGTGCTCTGTCGTTAGTTCAGGGGAGAACAGAACCCTGAGGGTCCAAGTACCTAATAATCATATACTTACCCAAAACCTATACTATAATTACTATTACCCAAAACCCAAGTACCCAATTATTAGGTACATGGACCCTTAGGGGAAGCATTCCTGGATCTACAGTGTCCAGTGGCGCGGGCTCACTTCTAGAGTCAATTCCCTAAGGGTCCAAGTACCCAATAATCATATACTTACCCCAAACCTATACGACTATTACTATTACCCTAACCCCAAGGACCTAATTATTGGGTACTTGGACCCTCTGGGATTGCAGTTAGGCAAGGAAGGCTTTTTTCCTGCAACCAATGCGCCCCTGCAGGTCAACGTGTTGTCAACCGCAGGGCCAGCGGTCCGAGACTCCTGAGGTATTCTTACCCTAGGGGTCCAAGTATACAAATAATACCTACATTGGGCCCTAAAGTCCTAAAGTCTGTAAATACTACCTACATTGGGCTATTTGGATCCTTAGGGCTACTGGTGTTCGATAAAGAGTGGGGCAAGCGAGCCAAATAGAGTCCCTGAAACTTTTCAAGTAGAAGCTTAACCTTCACTCCCCCTTAACAGCACCAGTACGTATTGCGAGCTCTGGCAGCTTGCCGCAGACCTACAGACCCTAAACCCTAACCTTATTAAGTCCTAAATCCCAAACCCTAAATCCTAAACCCTAAGCCCTAACCTTGAGTCCTAAATCCCAAAACCTCAATCCTACACCCCGAATCCAAAAGAATCCCTGCAAAATAGTTAGGGGTGGGTTATGAAAGAAAATACATACATATATACTTACTGGGGTTTAGTAGGGAATAGGGGAATACGCATCTTACTGTACATGGGGATGTTATTCCCTTATTCCCTACTTACCCCCAGTAAGATTATTACATATATGTATACACATATGTTTATAGAACATGATTTCGTGTCTAGGTGTCTATAGGATTATGTGGGACACGCAAGGTTATAATTGTATGGGGAGTATATAGGGGATGGTATCGTTCTACATAAGGTTATGTATCACGATACATATGGAGTATGTTGAGTAGCGTTGTAGCACCTACCGCCTGCCTTTCAGTCAAATTCTCGCGGATCCTTTTCACAACACGAATCGGATTCTAAGTAGACGCGCTAGACGAGGGGTCTTCTCAAAATGGAGAATCCATTACGTACGCTGTACCCCTGTAGAACTTTGAGAAAACCTGACATGTAAACGCCGCTTAGGAATCTAGTAGGCAATCCTCTTGTTAAAGACATGCTAGAGCCTTAAGGGTCGAAGGACCCAAATACTAATACGGTTTTATACTAGAATACTAATCGTGTTTGGGCCCCAAAACCCTGTTATTTGGGTCCTTGGACCCTTAGGGGAGGAGACTTTAGATTACGCCGCCGCCGACTCTTCCAATGCCTCCTCATGCAAGCGCTCCAGCATGCCTGAGCTCAAGAAGGGCACTGGCTGTGGGGCGTAGGCCCCCTTACACAAAAACGACAAACCCTACTGCTTAGGATTTAGGGTTTAAGGGACCCCCCAGAAACGCATTTATGATTTGAATCCGCCCCCCTAGGGACTGAGGAACAGTGATTTCAGTCTCGCATCATGAAAGCCCTAAATGCCAAACCCTGACCCGAGATCCAGGCTGTTCACATGCATCAAGCCAACCTTAGCTTTCAGGAGAAGCTTAGGTTTAGGGTTTCGGTTTAGGTGTTTGCGGGGTTGGGGTGTAGGGGTTGGGGTTTAATGCCTAAGGCCAAGGCATTTAGGCTTTAATGGAATTGGGACTTTAGGGTATCGGGATCGGAGCCCGATCTTGCGTACGTTACAGCATACCATATATACATCAGACCAGGTATGGTAGGTTCCAGAAAAGAGGAACCCCCAAAAGACCCCATATACGACGCCCCGTTATGGGGACCTCCAGAAAGAGGCCTCACGTTTTCGGAAACTCCAGAGTCTAAACCCTACCACAGTCATCATGGATTGGGCGCTTGTTATAAGCTTACAGCTCTGCGTGCAAACTTCAGCTAGTTCCGCAACCCTCACCTTGCATCTCCGATTTACCCCTTTACCGCGAGATTTATCAACTAATTCTGACAAAGCCTCTCAAATCCAAACCTGCTGAGTGCGCGGACGACGGCCGCGCATCGTATCGGTGCCTCTGAGGTTTGTGAGGCCTCGCCAAGAGTGGCTTTTGTTTCTTCCAGATGTTCTGGGGAGCCCATGTAGGATTTTAATATTAGGGTCCAAATCGTGGGTTTGGGCTCTAGGGCTACTCTCATAGGTCCCGCCGACAACCCTTGCAGTTTCAAGTCTCCGGAATTTTTGCCATGTGATAGTTGGTCCAGGTCGAGAACCCTCAGCATGTGTAGTTATAATCAGGCCTGATACGCTCCAACGTGCCAAGATATGCGACCCCGTTGCAATAAGGTCTTCAATTCCTGCACTCTTTTCTGAACTGGAGAATCTCCTCTGCTTTCCGTGAAAAAGGCATCAGGCTCCACTTGCCCATAGCTGAAGAAGATGAATCTGTGCATCTCAAAGTACTTGCAGATACATGGAGTCACAAAATATAGTATATTGGGGCTATATTGGGGTAATATAGGGATAATGGAAAAGAAAATTGAAACTACTAATAGTATATTCGGGTTATATGGGGAGTAATATGGGGTAAGAGGTGCTTCTCCTGAACCGTGAACTTCTCACAGCTGAACCCTCAATCCAAAATCGTCAACCCCAAGCCCTATAGTCCCCCTTAAGTAGATAGAATATGGTTTTGGGCATATTATCGTAAGATCCCATATACCCCATATTCTATCTACTTAAGGGGGACTATAGACTCTAAGCCCTCAAAACCTAAACCCTGGCAGCTCCCCCGACCTCCAAGTCTTCCGCGGCGTCACCTGCACCAGAACAAAACGGCTGTCCTGAATATAGACATCTGCGGGTGGATACCCCAATACAACCCCAATACAATATATAGTCGTTTCCATTTTCTTCTCCATTATCCCTATACTACCCCAATATAGCCCCAATATACCATACAGTAGTTTCCATTTTCTTTGTCATTATCCCTATATTACCCCAATACATCCCCAAAATACTATATTTTTCTCTTCCATTATCCCTGTATTACCCCAATAAATCCCCAAAATACTATATGGTCGTTTCCATTTTCTCTTCCATTATCCCTACATTACCCCAATATAACCCCAATATACTATATAGTAGTTTCCATGCTCTTTTCCATTCCCCCCTATGGTACCGCAATATACTATATAGTAGCTTCCATGTTCTTTTTAATTATCCCTACATTGCCCCAATATAACCCCTATATACTATATACTAGTTTCCATGTTCTCTTCCATCATTCCTATATTGCCCCAATATATTCCCAACATACGATATAGTAGTTTCCATGTTTTCCATTCTCCCTGTAAAACCCTATAAATAACCTCATAGCCCTCTATAACGCCTATAAAAGTCAGGATTTGCGGATGCGGCGCGGAAGTTGTGGGGTTTGCGCGGCTGGGGTTTTAGGAGTTGCGTGCTCCTTGGGCAGGAAGCTATGTTGCTGTACCCGCGAGGTACAGGCAAATTCGAAGTTGTGAAAGGATTCATGGTTTCTGCACGGACGTGGCTAGTCTGAAAGCTATGTGGCATGGTGCCGAGGTTGCAGGATTGGAGTTCTATATTAGGAGGACCCCCCACCCTAGAATAGTGGTATAATAGGCATATAAGAGGACCCCAATATAATCCTTATTATCCACAATAGTCACTATTACTGGGTGGGGGGTCCACCTAAGTTCTATATTCCAACAGTTCCATATGGCTGATGTACATTACTCAGGTATCCTAATAAAGATATGGCTCTACCTACAGCAACCAGGCTGCGTCTAACGCGTCCTAGGCAAACCTTCCGTTTACTACTCAAGGACTTCTAGTGTGAGTGCGTAGGTCTTCCTAAAGAGGAACTTCAACAAAACATTGTCCAAATCCATCCAAAATCCTCCTCAAAACCCAAATAAATGCCCCTGAAACACCACCCAGGAAACAAGGGCACCTTGCCCTCCTCGCTGGCTCTTCGGGGCAGCTTCGGGGGTGATCCGGGCGAAGCGGCACACTCCGCAGCCACCGCAGCCGCACGGCCCAGGAGTGGGCGCCGCCGACGGCCGCCTTGCTTGGAGATTGAAGGGTGAGTATATCATCGATGGGCGTGTATAAGCCTGAGGGTTTGGGGCAACTCTGGGGAGCTACACTTTCATCCTACTTGGGCTGAACACCTCCCAACACTCCCGTGAAGGCAAACGGCCTCGTGTCAATGCTCGCAGCACCGTCTGAAGGCCTTCTGCCTGCATACAGTGAAACAGAAGTGTTTGGCTTCAGTGCATACAACGTTCACGTGCAGAGGGTCCAGCTGCTTTCCCCTTTTCCATGCCACGTAAGGGTAGAGGCTTGAGATGCGGCGCCATCGTCCAGGACGGGCTATCATGACAAGGCCACTTAACAAATGTTCCCCCATTTTCTGGTGGTACTGAATTGAGATTATGCTTCTTGTCAAGGGGTCAGAATTTCATGATTGGTGGCGATGATGAATATAGTAGCTTCTCAAA